AGTTCAACGAACGGCGCGCGATTCGCGGTATAGTTCTCTCCCTTCATTGATCACTGCGTGACGATGAGACGGTTGACGGCGATGAGTCACGAGGTGCAGTGCGTGGAGCGGCGGGAAGTCGAACTCGGAAAGTCGATCTCGCACCGCGTGGAGATAGAGCCACCAAGGATTGCGTTAATTACCGTCGAGAAAGTACCGTTCGCGCTATATATATTCGCGCGCGAAGCGTAAAGCGCGTGCGTTATTCGCATTGCTCGCCGCCGATCGTTCCGTCGACATTCTTTCTTTCCCAACGGGACTTTTCTAAGAGACGGTCGAGTTGGAGATCCGACCGATTCGCTTCACTCTCAGCAGTCTCAGTTATTAGACGCTACTTTTAGATGCTAGTGGACTTTCGCGGATAGGCGTAAAACTATAATTCATACGGTGAAAGCGCTACGGGCGGATCTACTTTTTTATTTGGAGATAACAAGGGTCTTCATCTTTCTACATTTCCGACGATGGTGTTTATGTTTGTGCAATGTAAAACGATGCAAATTTCTGACCTTTGCTTTAATGTGTCACATTAATATAAATTCTTTTTTAATTGCGAAGAACAAAAACGATATTGATTGGAAAATTAAATATATTATAATATTATAATTATTACTAATGTCCGGAACTTCATTTTTAACGTTGAACGATTACTCGCTAATTTTACAAGTTTTTTTTTCTTCGCGCGATACGTTATTAACTCTATTAGCCGTAGAGTTCTACTCGTAATTGATTAGTGTTGCAACTTGTGATTAATAAGGCTGTAAGTGGTGCAGGAAAATAATTCTTGGTTTGCGCCATTAACACGTTTATAATATTCCAAGAATTACAACGTTAGTTATTGTTTAGTATTATGAGTCTCATAGTCTCGCGAAACAATGATTCTGCTATTGTTTTTAAGCGGGATGTCTTGCGTGCGCGCTTTTCAATTTCTCACCGGCTAACAAGGACGATTTTTCTTAATTTACGTGTAGAAATTATGATTATATTTAACCTTCCGGTAATTGCATCTGACGAACGCGATGTACACGACGATCTGTCATCAAGGCGGTACGTTTAATCATGTTTTTTTTTTATAACGTTACAGAACGAGAAAATTTTTTCGACAAACCACGGTCTCGTTAAAGCTGTGAATATGGAAAAATACGATATAAATATTTGGAATAAAATTCGATAAAAAGAGTATAAAAACAGTAGTTTGGGATTCTTTAGAATTTAGAAAAAAGTTGGAATTCTACATTGAAAAAAAATCTACTAAATTTTATTATACATATTTCTTTTAATATAATAGTACTAAGTAAATATTTATTACTTACGTAAATATTTATTCGATAAAAAGTGATAGTGAAATCAAATTAATAATTTTTGTATTAAATAAATATATGTTTGCATTTAGTAAATATTTACTTAGAACTATTCGAACAAATATTTATTAAATCTTAATTTTTTTAGTGTTTCAATTATGTCATGATTTATATTTTTCATTAAGGCTCTTGTCCACTTACCACTATACTATCTCAGAGGGTGACGTCAAAAGCGAGGAAACATATCTCTACAATAAAAATTCTTGCAAATTATATTAGGTGTTGGAATTAATTCGTAGCGTTTTACAAGTGATGGGAAGTACTTTCATTAATGTATTTTTTAATGCTCATGTGAAATAAATAACATTCTTTCATTAAAAAACGCTACGAATTAATTCCAACACCTAATATTTGAATAAAAACATTTTTCGCTAAAACAACACTTGCGATAGATAAAATAAACTGTCAAAATATACCAAAATTTATTATTTTGGAGACAAATTAAATCACATTTATTCCTAAATATTATTAATTTGACATTTTGTCATAGCTGTGAACACACAGCTTATTCTGTTTGTGGTTATGTATAATTCATTTCCGGACATATGAATATTCATTAATTAACATAACAAAAGGAGAATTTTCGCTTTTACAAACCGGTTCTATTGATTGTAAATGAATCGTGTCATTAAAATACATATTTTCATATTAATATATTTCGCATATATTTCGTATTATGTTCTCTTCTGATGTCACTTTAAGATAGTAAAACGATGTAACGAGAACTTTAAATTCATCTGTAATTTTTAATTAAAAACAACGGGTGTTCTCGTTCGTTAAAAACGTTTCATTAAAAACGAGGGAAAGATCTTCTTGTACTTGGAATTGAAGACGCTTTCTTTTCGGAGTATACACGCGAATTAGTTTCCTCACTGTTATTCCGGAGCGTCTTGGCACTTACATAGAGAGTAGACAAGCGACGGCAACTGTTGTTAATTCGGTTGAACGTGAGCGGAATGACAGAGAGCCGTCGGCCGAGTAATTGTATACAATTACATCATTTGTTTGCTTTCTGGCCGGCCGCGGGTCGTGAGAACGGGATCTAACTGAGCGTTTAACGGCGACGAATAAATTTGTGTGCACGTCAAGTGAACTCATAACGCCCGTATGTATACACGTGCGTTGACGGTAATTAATCAGTCCGAGCCGACGGCTGAAACGGCCGGTCTCGTGGATTCATCGTTTCTTCAGGCTTTTTATTGGATTATTCATAGTTTATTTATGTTTCTATTCGCGGACGTTCGAACGCTGAATGTAGTGACGCTAATTAGCTTGTTAATTTCTCGGTATTATTAACTCGTAGCGCGTGGACGTTAATTAGCTGGAGAACCGGGGAAAATTAATCTTGTCAGAAAAACGGCATGTATACGGCAGTCGGAAATATACCAAGATTATTATGAACTTATAACATCGCTGTATGCTAACGAATTGATGATTATTCAATCGATATACATGTATGTATATCGATATAACAGTGACTTGTTTGCGCGACGTGCACTCTTAATTCGCGGTGACTAGACATTATTCTGACAAAATCGGAATATGCCAATACATTATTCGTCGCTAATTTATGCCGTAATAAAGGAGTATCGATATGTGGTTTCGCTTTGATCTCCTTCGAAGTCCGCGTAGAAAATGAAAAATAACTTTTCATCAGCCTGGGTAGAATCATAATTAAGTTATAATCGTAGAACATCATCACTAAGTAAAAAAAGTAAAAATTAAATAACTTTAATTTTTTGTTTAAATTGACTTTACTTTTAACGTCATGCAAGTCAAAACGATTATTTTTGATTACGAAATTTGACTGTTTATCGACTTTTTATTAAGAATTTTTTGTTCTTAAAAAAACATTATCTCTTATCAATTCTGTTTCTGAGTTTTACTTTATAAGTTTCACTTTGATAGTGGAAAAAAAATACGTTGCAAGTACGTAGACGCAATTTATTGATGAATCCGAAAAAGACGCGTGTTCAGTACTCGCGTTAACTGAAACGACATACGAGAAAAAAACCAAACGAGATTTCTCATTCGAACTTCTGATCGATAAGTGAAGAGAGAAGAGGCTTTGCCATTAATAATACAGAGCCGCTTCGAATCTGATACAGAGAGAATCGGTGAAAGCTGGGGAAATTGAAAAATGGCGAAGAAAGGTCAGAACGACTGTTAGGAAAGCTTGACGCATCGTATATTGTTGGAAATTAGATGGAAAGTAATTCAATCGTGAACATATCGTGCACGATAAGACATAATACATATTCCACACATGTACAAAGTAATATTGCAAAATATTTAAACGTTGTCATGCATTAAGCATACGCCAGCGTTGACGTCGTTTCCCGTTGGGCGATGATACATTAGATAGTTGCGAAAGAGTAGAAACCGGGTGGTTTATATGTTGTGAAGTTATAAAAAATGAAAGCTGATCGCGTGCGCCGTCATTCTTCGTCGTTGAATATTGCACATCGCTCATTTATTAGTACCTTGTCGTTAATTGTCGCCAACGATTACGAACACTTATGATGATAATGTTGTCTTCTCTTCCTCGGGTCTCAGTCGTTTCTGATGTGGACGAGCTTACGAACGATTTTGCGAATGTGACAAGGTCGCGATATGGCGGGTATATTTTTGCACAACTTTCTTCGGTATATACGGAATGGTGAGTCGATTAGAGAGAGAGAGAGAGAGAGGGAGGGGGAGGAGGAAGAGAGACAGAAAATACATCGTTTTATTTTGCGCCCTATAGGAATAAATTTTCCTAAAGCATATTCTTAGGAATAAAAATACAGAAACGTGCACGTAAAGCAGAGAAACTGAGAGAGAGAGAGAGAGAGTGACAGAGAATGAAACGGAGAGACAGAGAGAGAGAGAGAGAGAGAGAGAAAAAAAAGAAGCAGAGAATTTGTTTTATTTCGCAGTCTATAGGAATAAATTCCTTTGAAGCGTATTCTTAAAAATAAAAATACAGAAAACTGTACGTAAAACAGAGAGAATGTGTGTGTGTGTGAGAGAGAGAGAGAGAGAGATATTAAAGAAAGCGCAATTAATTAGCGAGTTTAATGTTTGTGGAAGGTTCAAGCGAGGCAATTCTATTTGGTCAATCGTTGAGAGAATGTTCCTTCGGTTTACGACCAAAGATTTCTTGAATAGGTCAGATAAATCTAGGACGGGTTCATAAGATTGTAATAACACACTTCTTTCAGTTAATGTGATGATCTTAAATAACTCTCGAGGTGTAATAGTTTATTTAAATCAGTAATCACAGTCAGCACTTAGAAATCGCGTGAATCAACGATACGCGATTCTTTTAAACATTTTAGCTTATATCGCAAACGTGGAAATATTTAATACGCACTAAGAAACAGATTAATTCTTAATAATTAGTAGAAAATGTATTTTTTATTTAGAATGTGCGTGGGTTATAAAATTGTAAAACTTTCTGATGATATTGGAGATACTTTAATATATTTCTTACTAATTAAAAACTTACTATATTATTTTTAAACTATTGAATGAGGAAAGATTTGCGTCCTTGAGCGGTTTAATGTCAATTAATATCTCTCGTTTAATATCAATTAACGGAAGCGCTCTTTATCATTGCAGGTGTAAATCGTCACAAGATGGCGTCCAATGAAGACGGCGATCTGATTGATCTTGGAAACGATGTATGTGTGTCGCGGGTCACTGTGGATGATGCGACACCCGAAGAACAAGAGCATCTGTTGGACGTATGTCCTCCGAAACTGGAGCAGAAACTCTCCCTCACCAAGCAGCAAGAGCGGGTGCTGAACAGCACCGATAATGGTGATATCCTGGTGACCTTGGGTCACGATCAAGTGGTACCGATTCGCAAAAGGATCGACGTGGTCTCATCGGACACGATCAAGCGGGTACGTGATATTACTAGGAATCTAGAACCTGTGATACACAGAACTTGTTCGGGCATTAACGAAGAAACTCAGCAGGACACGGTGGATTACGCGACGATATCGAGCTGCGAAAGAACGAGAGAAACTTCGACATTGAGACATGAGGATGAAACATATGAGACGCGAGAGATAAACAATGCTTTTGATTTCCTCACTGAACACGACGACAACGAAGACCAAGTGGAGACGAGCTGCTCCGATCGCGCGAGAAACGAGAACATCGACCCGCATTGCATGATCTCTCCCGTGAGTCTCTTGATCGGAGGGGAAGAAGACAGGGTCAATTACCCCTTTGAGTCGTCCAGGATCTCGAATGAGGAAGCGAACGGTAGAAGCGACGTGGAGGAGACGAAAGCCGTCACGCCAAGTGAATACGATGCTCAACCGGACGATTCGGTCTACGAATCTCCGCCGAATTCAAACAAGTTTCTCGAGGATAATTCGCCCAAAGACAGAATCGTTTCTATCGATTCGGAATCTCGTACGAGAATCGTTCTCAAGAGACGCGGAGAGGAAAATGTTGCCTTCGAGCGCGGAAGCAAAAGGCGGTCCTTTCAAGAGTTTCATCGTAAATCGTGGACAGAAGGAGCAAACCTAAACTCAGCTTTTACCGATGGGCTTCCTGGTATCGATAGATCCACCAGTCTCAAGGAATATCGCTGCAGACCGTTGATTTCCAATTGTGCGACGTCCAGTTTTCTCACGAGGTATGATTGTTGTCGTTATATTTTCATACTTTTCTCACGCAAGAGGAGTTTATGCACGAAAAGATTTTGCTGGAATATCTAAAAATTTTGATAAATATAGATCTGAAAATAATTTTATTTGGATTATTAAAATGATTATGCAGGATGCTCAAATAAATTGCTAAAATTTTTGATTGCTTAAAACTTTTTGTTGGATTGCCGTTAATGCTTAAATGATTTTGATGATCCAGTAAAATTATTTTCAAATTTGTACCTTGTTAAATTTTTAAATACTTCAGCAAATCTGTTTTTTTCTGTGTGCTTTACGTCAGTAAAAAAAAGAACGGAATTGCTAAACAAACTTTTTGAGAGGATTATATAAAATGTTCTGTAAATTAATAATTTTTTAAAATAGATATTAAAACTCTGAAAATTATTCATAGACACAAAAGAATATTCCTAATGCAACCTTTGTAATTATTGAAAATTAAAAAAAAATTAAATAAAGGTACTAAATTTTGTGTCAAATAAAAATTCGAAAAATCGGTTTTGAAAATTCGACAAATTTGATTCTTCAATTTCTCTTATTAATTCATGACGATTAGGAAGTAAACGAATATCATATTTTAATCAAATTAAAATCGTGTTTTTTAATTTTTCACTACAAAGATATTGCGATGTTTTTATAAGAAGTTCTATTTTGACTTCTCGTTCGGCTAAAATCTGTCTTTATAGCAACTTCTCACGGTGAATTCATATCGGTAAACCTAATATAAGAATTCGTGTAGGTAGACTCGAATGCGTCGGCAGGAAAACGCACTTTCGTGCCGGAAGTATTTACATAGGCCTAAGCCTAACGAGCGTGCAAACTATTTCAATTCAGACTTGCTCGATGTGCACATGATGCTTTAGTGACGATGAGAAACGACGTGCGACGCGGGATCTCACGAAGTCGATCGAAAGACACTGACAATGAAAATGCAGATCTTCTTTGACGACCGCGAATGCATTACGTATGCCCTACCTTTCAAGCTGTTAGCATAAATATAAGCTCGAGAGTTTTAGAGAGCCGTTTTTAGCTGACAGACCTTTACTGGTAAATATTAAAAAAGCAATAGCGATCCAATCCCTGAATTAAATAATATTTATTATTTTTAGTTTTTATGTATGTCAAAACGTAAATCAATCCATTTCCATGTAAACATCGTTTATATTAACATACATATTATTTGATAAATAATAAACTAATAAATTTGGGTCAAACATTTCTTGAACTAAATTGTATAATTGCATTGTTTTAGTAAAATCAATGACACTAGATAACAATTAGATAAGAGCAGTGGCGACTACAGAATTGATTAAAAATAAATAACTCAAATTGACGTTATAAATAACAGTTTGAAATAGTTGCCGCTTGGAATACACACAACATTCGTTAAAAATCATTCTCGATTTTTACATTAAAAGTTTCACGTTGTATCCAATTGCGCACATTCAAGCGCAATACTTTCCTTTCCTTTTTTTTAGTTAAAAATTTAAGAGCCAAGAAGCTTCTTAAATTTCAGAAATTTACTCTCTCTGGAGATAGTGAAACTTTCTAACTGCTGGATCAAAGCGATAATGTGAATATTCGGAATCTAAATGCAAATGCGTTGCTCTCACTTGAAAAAGAAAAAAAATCATCACGGTCAAGCCGTACAGGTAAATGACGTCTATGCATTTTCATGATGATGTCGTGATATGGTGTCGCGAGGCAAGTATTCACGTAAGCACGCGGACATGATAAATTAAGCCCCGTTTCGAATTGAACGAAACGCTTCAGAAGGATGGTATATTACGTATGACATGTGAAAGCGGAAAATTCTGATCCTCGTGTGCTCGGTACCGCAACAACACATATTATACGAAACGATGAATTAACGATAAATATACCGATATAACCGAAGAAAAATAATGGTATTTTTATAGCACTTTACCTTCTAGAGAGTCGTCGAATTTTTTTTAAATCACCAAAATCTCATTCTAGACTGAAAATGTTTAATCAGATGCCAAATCTGACACTGATTTTGAGACGTTAAAATATACAGATAGAATTTTTCTATTGTATTATACAAATCAAGTATTTATAGATGTTTGTAATCGCTTATTATGAAATTAAAATCACGAAATTTATAAAATGATTTAACATCGTCGAGAAAATAATTTTTGCATATCTGCATTGATTTGTACTTGATTTTATATTTATCGGTTTTCTAGATGATTATGAATTTATGAGATCGTAAAATTTAAAATAACGAGTATGGCAGACCTAAATTTAAAACGAATAAATAAATCTTCATAAATTTTGCATAAATTAAATTTTAATTTTTGCAATTTCTTCTTGACTTCAGTCATTCATGTTGGATTCGTTATTTTAAAATGTGTAATCTTATTAACGATTCCAAAATTTTATAAATACCAACTTTAGAGCAAAACACATATCAATAAAAATAATCTATAACTTAATAATATATTTAACCATTTTTAATTTTATGATCTTCCTGTCAGATTTGTAATTAATAAAACTTCTTATTGGATTTTGAAAAGAATATTTCCTTTTTATTATCAGAGACATGTTATAACTTATCATGGCTTTGCAGACCTCTAAAGGTTAAGCCATATATTTCCGCTCCTATTTCATTACGAAATAATACATGAGAATGAAATATCGTTATCTTTGGTAACGAATGAAGAAGCTACTATTATCGTCTACTTTTTCTCGCGGATTGGATTATTTACTAATCACCACCACCCTATAACGTACCTGTAATTCTCCGTAATTCTCTTCCGTTTGCTCATTAACGCCGCGTTCGAGGAGCAATTCAACCTTCGCAACAATAGCGAAACAGCCGCTTTTGTTCCACGCGTAGGAAATAATTAATAACAATAGTGGTGCGGTACTGATACCGCTCAAAGAGATCTTTGTCGCCTATTACAATACGACTGCGATATCGCCATGTGATATGGGCGCGTCAAGAACGGGCACGACCGTGTTTAGAAAGTCATTTCTCGGATTAATCCACGAATAGAGTCGCGTCTTTGACGCCGTAAAGCCTTAAATACGTTACATTTTATTATATGTCTCTTTATCTTATCTTTGTACTTATCCACTTTGTCTTACAAGTTGCTCTGCCAAGCAATAAAAAACATTACAGGCAATTGGAACAAGGAATAAGAAATTTCAATTTATCAAAAATGGTGTATATCAGAAATGCGGTTGAAATTCTAGATTGAAATCTGTTATTCCTCTGTTCCTATTGCTTGTGATTTTAATTGTGTTTAAGGCTTAATGCTTATCATCGGAGATGCAATTCGTAGAACAAGGTGATACAGTACAAAGATAAAGAGACGCACAATAAAATATAAAGGAATAAGTAGAAAAGGAATAGGTCTTCTTCTTCTGAAAAGGATAAGAAATCTACGAACGGAAAATTCATTTAGTGAAAACATAAAGATTTCTATGTCACGACTTATCTCTGACTTTCGAAATAAATTCGATATGTACATATAAATTAGAACGTGGATAAGTAATGTACGAAGATTCTTAGTATTCATAAATTGTTCTAATTTTAAAATTAAGTAATGTTCTTCATTGTTAAATTCATATATTTATAATGTCAAATTATACTCGCGATTTAAATTATTAGGTGTTGGAATTAATTCGTAGCGTTTTACAAGTGATGGGAAGTACTTTCATTAATGTATTTTTTAATGCTCATGTGAAATAAATAACATTCTTTCATTAAAAAACGCTACGAATTAATTCCAACACCTAATATTTTTAATCATTTTTAAAGGTCGTCACTCCTCGTATTCAATATGTCATTAATTTAATTTAAATAATAGAATAAACAGTTAAATTCAATGCTCCTTGTTGTTTATTACTATTCTGATTTAAGACAATGTATTAAATTCGACCTCAAATTTTGTTTATTATTTATTAAGTGAATACCTTAATTACAACATTGTTTACTTCGTAACTTTACTACGTTAATTAACCACAGAAATGGATTGATTTACACTGACGCACATGGAAGTTAAAAATAACAAAATATTACTTTTTTAAAAGTTTGGATTGCTATTCCCCTTTAATATCTAACAATGTAAAATGCTATACAGTTCTGTTTGATTTATGTTTATCCGCAGACTGATCTTAAGACGATATTACATAAATATAAGACTTTAAATATCGTTAATGTTTTCCAAGCAAGTTTTCGTTTGAAAAAGTGCATTTAAACTACAGCTCAGTTTATAATTATAATTACAAGACAGATTTACTTGTTAACACTTAAATAATCGTGTTTTGCTTGAAGCTCTGAGTTCAACTTTGTTTGATTTTTTTGAATCTTCATTCTTCAATTCTGAAATCTGTTTTGCCAAACGACGTAAAATTGTATCGGCGACAATTGTTTTGTACGAAAATATTTTTTTGAGCCACCGAAGGATCGGCACAGCGACGATATTGTTATCGATAGACAGACTAGCTGGGAAAGGGCACGACCGCGTTTAGAAAGTCGGTCCAGCGGATTGATACGCGAACCGCCGCGGGCGCTGCGAAAGCAGTCGGGTCATCGAGCGCACGAACGTTATGCGGCCTCACCTCTCTCGCAGACATGCGGGATTTGAACAACAAATTTCAGTTGTTATATTGGCGAAACACTTCCCACGCGCGACTCGCGTACAATAAGGTGAGAGCCGCGCCATGTCGGTCGGACATTACGCATCCGGAAAGCCACGTCGCAGTTATGCGCACTGCTTTGTGACGAAATCCCCTCAATGCCTCGCTGCATGTCCACGATGCGAGGCAGTTTTTAAATGGAAAAAAAAAAAATCTACGATTCATAGTTAGAGAAACTCAGAATTAACTGAATGTGAGATTGGTGGGATAGAAAAAAAATACAATTAAGGTGTATGCGTAAATCGTCCATAGAATTTGCTTACGGATATTTAGGTTTGCGAAATCACAATGTTTGTTTGCATTTCATTTTTTCTCGTAATAATTTAAATTTACATTTCTTCGGGAATTCTCGGGCGATTCTAAGATATTAGAAATTATTAAGCTTCCAGGGCACGTAACATTGCTGAATAATTTACTAAATCTAAAGTTTTATTGCTTGAGATTCTGAATTACTACGTGCTTTCTGCATCGACCAAATTAGATGTAGGAATATAGAGAAAAGAAAGTAGAGTAGGCAAAGATTATAGCCTAAATTTTTTTGCTTAAACAAAGAGAATAAATTCTATAAGCACAAAAATATGACATTTGTAGAGAAAATTATCCTATTAGTAAAAAATCTCGACATTAGTAAATATTTATTTATATTTATAGTAAATATTTTCTGAAAGACAACATTACAACGCGCAAAGAAAAAGTTTGTGTTTCAAATATTCGACTGTGTTGAATATGGAACAATAAGAATAAGTATTTTTGGCACATTGTTGTTTCTTTTTTATGTACTGTTTTTTGTGTAGCGTATTTATCGAAATATAAAAGCATAATATACTACAAATACTTGTTTTTATTCTTCATATTCAAAATGACACAGATGTTCAAAACTTGACATCAACAAACTTTTTTTAAATATTGAAACATCATTTTTCTCAAAATATTTATAATATTATTATTTATAATATTAAATATAAATAAATATTTATTAAATGCAAATAAATTTATTACTGACATTATTGTAGAAATTATTTCGTATTAATATCATTTTCCAAAAATAAGCGAAATTATTAGCTAACTCAATATTAATGTTATCTTTTTATTTGTGTTATTTGAGAAATCATTTTAATCTTTAGATACCTTAAAATATATAATATATAATATCCTGACTTTCCAAGCAAAAAGATTAAAATTGGCATACATTTTAATGCATTAATAAATTTACATTGTATTATATAATGACAGTTTTTATGTACGCAAGTTCATTAAATGTAGATACATCGTAAAAAGTAAAATATTAATTTTAACTTAAAGAAGTATAATGGAGACATGCAAATTAAAATATTAAAATAATAAAACAGAAAAAAATAAACATAAAAACGTTAATTTTAATATTTATGCATATCTCAGAAAATCTGTTATACATCTTTAAGTTAAAATTAATATATTTTTTGCAGTATATACATCGATACGTAGCCAAAATCTAATTTAATATATTTCTCGGAACGTGAGATCTTATCTGTGAAACAAAATTCCTTGAATATACGTATATTTAAATAATCTACTTTGATAAGATGTACGCGCGCGTTACGTAATATATTTTATATATATATTAGGTGCTGGAATTAATTCGTAGCGTTTTTAATGAAAGAATGTTATTTATTTCACATGAGCATTAAAAAATACATTAATGAAAGTACTTCCCATCACTTGTAAAACGCTACGAATTAATTCCAACACCTAATATATATATATATAGCGCCAGTACTTTCTCATAATTTTCCTCTCTTTCCTCGAGAGACTTGAATCATCTGCTGTAATCTACTCTAACCACTATTTCCCCTCCATCCCCCGGCCACACACCTGTGAACAACTCAATGCTCTACGTTTCGAGGTACGAGGAGAAATTACCAAGCTTCTCCACCCACATTCCTATGATTATGCTCCCACAATTCGTAATCGCGCGACGTTCCCCGCCGAGGGTAGATGATAGAAGTCACGCGGGCGGATGTGATGCGACCAGGTATACGCGGCTCATGCTCTCACACGCGTGTAGGGTGCGATTCCTATTCTGTTATCCTTCGTCGTCTAGGTGATCGACGTCGGGACTCGGGACGGATGTGGGGTGCAGGCCGGGAACCCACGGGGTGGAACCCACGGGGATCGTCATAGAGGAGTGCATTCTGGCGCGCAACGTTGGGTGCGTCGCGCGGACTAGGTGGCCGCTCACAGGCGTTACGCTTCATACCGGAAGTCACGGTATACGGTATACGGGGGTCGTGTGCGAGAGCCGTGGAACCCGCATCAAGGTGACATTTCTTCTTCCTCTCGTCTATCCTTCCGTGACGCTTTTGAACCCCTCGAAGCGGCACGCGCTACTCTCGAAGAACAAGGAGTTTCCGTTCAGGAAGTCCCTGCTTGAAGTAATCTCTTCCTTTTGGACTGTTCCCGGCACGCGTTGGACTGTTATCATTGCTTTCCATCGAGTCTCAGGAAAGAGAGAATGCGTGCGGATTGAAACTCTGTATTAATAAAAGTAGCGCAAAAGTCCATCATATTGAACCTAATAAGTGTATCGTATTAAAGAATTACTAATGCCTATTTCTATCAATGTAGTTTAATCTTAATTTCGGTTCAACAAACTCTTGATTTTTAGTTTTAAGAATTAGAAAAAGATGAAGAGTAAGTTGGAAAGATTAAAGTTAATTTATTGGTAGGAACATAAGTAGTTATTGGACGATAAAATAATTAGGTCCAAGATGATCGAGGCTAATAGAAAAACAGTCAATAGGAAGACGCGGTTATCGGCAAAAGAAATGCACTACTTTTATTAATTTAAAATCGGAGAAAACAAAATCGAATTCATTGATCAAAATCGAATTCATTTGTCGCGCTTTAATACGAAAATTTTTCGAATTTAGAGAGAAAAGCGGAGAAAACCTGTTGCTTCTCTCCACGTCAAAAGGAGATTGTTCGAATTTTTTACGTGAAAGACAATTTGAAGAGAAAAATGTTGCCCGTAAGAAATCGATTGGCTATTAATGGTTATGTTCAGCAAGAAAAAAACTTTTTATTGTTGCAAATATTGTTGTAAGATTTTTCAATATGATTGATTTATGCATTTATAGAGGCAATGAGAAACTAAGGAAAGCAAAGCCACTTTTTCTGCTGAATGTAGCTAATATTATTAATTTAAATAATGAAGAAAAATTATTTTTAATTTCTAATATCTAAAATTTAAACAATTATAATACGAAATTGGACCGATGAGAATAAATCTAATTAAGTGAGAGAAATCTTATTTTCGGTTAAAGCGGATTTTAGATTAAATATTTCGATATGGGTTAAATATATGAATTCTTAAGTATTAGATTAGATATTTGAATTTATATATTAAGTACATATTCAATTCTGCAAATCACACGCCGAAATCTTTTCCAGTTTTGAAACCCAATTATGAAAAAATTTCAACTAAATGAACTCTAAAATATTTGTTATATGTTTGAATTAACAAATATTTGCTTGTCGGTTCGTTGCACTTAGTTAAATCAAGTAATAATATCTTTTTGAAGCAGCAACTTTTTTCTCATTTTTTGCATTACTACAAAAGAAAGCTGTTTCACCAGTATTCAGGTTAATCGTTGTGGGAGTGATGATACCCGCATAGTTCAACCCGCATTTTTTCTTGTGCTTGCAGACAACCGCCGGAAGTAGAATCAGCGATCAAACCGAGCGAGGACGTTTGCTCGGAAGGTTCCGAGGTGGATTGGTCGTGGCTCGAAGAAGTGGAGTACTTACGAGCCGCGGAGTCGCTCGCAATCGCCGGTGAACGTAATGAACAGGGTGGGAGGGTGAACGCCGTCCCCACCAACGGAAGTGCAGGGCGCAGGCGCGCCTCCGAGCATCGCGAAACGACGATGGGCCGCAGTGTCGCGATGTCCGTCACCGCGACGGCAAAGTCCCTAGCAGGTGGTGGCTCGCGGTGGCCATCCTCCAGTGGCGCGCTTCTCCTGGATCGTCAAAACAACAATAACAATAATCGTCGCAGCAGTGGAAGGCACCGTCGGTATCGCAACGGTAATAATAACAATAACGACGACGACGATGACGAGGCCGCGGCCGCGGCCGCGCGTTGCAACGCTACGAACGAGGCGGTCGATCGCGAAAATCGCGACTGTCTGCGTCACCTGCGGTTACCCGAGGGTACGCAACGCGCCAACGTCGGCGGTAACGAACCGGCCAATCGGCGCGCCGCGATCGTCTCGGCGCCGAATTCGTTGCCGGATATCGCCCTGATCGCGCCGGAGATCCTCGCCGCGCAGACCAATGGTAGCAGCGCTTCTGGCGCGCTGCTTCGGCCTTCGAGCGCGCCCGCGAGAAACGTGATCGCCGGCGTCGCGACGCCCCGCCGAACCGGCCGGCAGTTCGCCGGCGGTAGATCGCAAGGGTCGCGAAATCGCGAGGTGTCCTCGAGGCAAGGCAGCCTCGGCTCCACGACCACGGCCAGCGACACTACCGCGTCCGGCAACACGACGTGTTCCAGCTCTTTCGGCGGGGGTTCCAGCAGCGCGCCTTCCAGCACGGCGACCAGCCCGCAGCGCGCCGCTGTCAGAAGGTCAGTGGACGAGTTTTTTCGTTTTTTTCGTTTTTTTTTTTATTTTGTAATTGCGTCTCCAATGCGATTTTAAGGCTTAAACTGTAGCTTTGAGAATCTTCTTAAGTAAGAAATTGCTCGATTACAGTCGAATGTGAGGAGAATGACGGCTATAATTGATCAATTTCTTACGGCTGACTTAACGTTTAAGTTTTACGTCTTAAAATCTTAGTAAGAAATAAAGCGACAAAAATAATAGGGCGCTCCACGAGATTCAAACCGAAAGGTCTGGTCTCCTCTGTAATGGTAGATTTCCGTCCTGAGCCATACAAACCTGACTTTTCTGTTGTGCCTATTTTCTCTAAATTTCTTACATCTTATTGTAGACGCCGCTTTATGTAGGTGAGAAAACTTGCGGATCTTTTCTGATACAGATAGATCGATTCTGTACAGGTAACAATAAATAGATCGTGCTACTTCATGCGTGAAATTCTTCGGAACTTAAACAGGAAACTTGCACGATTGTTTCTACTTTTATAGAAAAGTGGGATGCAAAACGGTAACAGCCATGATAAACAACTCGTAACACGTATGACATCGCGTTTCTTACGTGATTGAGAAAGCTTGCAGATCTTTTCGCGCGGTAGAGATACAGATAGATTGTGCTACTCCATGCGTGAAATTCTCAGACTTATGTATACAGGGTGCCTTCCATTTAGTCACACAAGTATCGTTTTGTTTTCCTTACTCATGGAGTGCAGAGTGCAAAGAAAAATAGAACGGCGTTTGTGTCGACTTGTGTCACTAAATGGAAGGCACTCACAGAAAAAAACTTGAAAGACCGTTTCTACCTAGAAAAGCGAGATGCAAAACTATAACGGCATACATGATGAACAATGCGTGATACGTACTTGTGTTTTTTTACGTAGTTGAAAAAATTTGCAGATCTTTTCGGTAGAGATACAGATGGCTTGTGCTACTCCATGCGTAAAATTCTTTAGATTTACGCGAAAAATTTGCAAGATCATTTCCATCTTTAAAGAAACACGAGATACAAAACGTAATTGATGTAACATCAAGGTAAACAAAACATTTTATATATATATGGGTCATTCAAAAATTGAACAAAAAACCGCGGATACTTTTTAAATGACCTATATATGAGACATTAAGAATGGTTTTTATTAGCTCCTAGTTTTGAAATAACAGGTTGCATCATTTGCTTAAATCATCTTGTTTATAAATACTGAAATCTTAACATAAGATGGATCTCTGTGCGTCAGCTTGAATTTGTCACGCTGCATTGTTAAATAGCCAAGAAGCAATGATAATTCAATTCCGTAAATTAAATAATATTTTGTTACCTTTCATTTTATGTGGTTAAAATGTAAATCTATTCATTTTTATGATTACACGGAAAGTTTGATTTTATTAAAATATTTAGCTCGACACAGATCCGAAAATAATTCTGTTGGAATCAAATATCAAAATAATTACGTGAAACACTCAAACTGATTGTTAAATTAAATTTTTTTGTATCATTGCTCCAGATTTCTATGTAATTATTTTGACAAAATTATTTTTAGATACGTATTTAATTAAATTTTTAAATACTTTATCAAAATCGATTTTTCAAAATAAATGTGTAATTTGAAAAAAATTGTCTAAAACTTTTAGAGTGAATTTATTAAGCAAATAGACTAAAGAGAGAACATTATCTTCGCACGTTGGATTCTTCCTCGTCCGATTGTCCCCGTTAGGCATGTTTTTACCTTGGAAATCAGTAATCCTTGCTTTTTGTTCAAATTAATGTTCTTGCAGAATTATACGTAATTGATTGACAACGGTAAACTGAATATATTGACCATGATGTAAAAATATAAGGTGTTTCATGATAATGGTGAAATTGAATTCGGAGCAGCCAATCAAAATTTAGCCTCAAATGGCAATATATAAAGACCATCACACGTAAAAAAATTTTAATCGTAATCACAAAGTTTTAACCAAATCGATCAATTAAGAGTGCGATCTGACGTTTTAGAATGCTCAATCATAATTAATCGATATGTTTACGATCTGACGATTAAAATTAAAACTTTTTTACGTGTGATAGGCTTAATCTGTCTGTAAATCATAGGAGCCATATTGGTTTTTGCATTTGCAGCTCTCTAATTGATCAACACTATGCAAAATTCTCGGAAACAAAATTTATATTTTTACATCATGATATTGATAATCCATGAAAAAAATTGCGTGCCTTTATAATTTATTTTTAAATATTATAAATATTTCATACGAAGGTAATTCGATCTGTTCAATGAAATATAAACTCAGCATAAAAAAATAAGATAAATCGATCAAATTGACAGTTCCTGATGATATTTTAATAACGTAATAAATAATGAAGTAATAAATAATGAAGTAATAAATAATGAAAAAAAATTGTCATAAAAGTCAGCAGTTTAGCATCAATGTGTAGAAACCTATGGTAAAGAAAGTATAGACGGTTTTTTTATTCAGTGTTTCATCTAACGTCCTTGACATGACATGGTTGTGTTGTCATACATCTCAACTGCAGGATTCGTTCATCCGCAATGCATCAGAACATCCCGTTTCATTCTCTTTCTCTCACAAATACTTGAAACTGTGTATATTTTTTTATCAATGATATACACTGTGTATTATTTTACCTCGTACGGTATTCAAATAGTCGATCGATAAAATCCGCTGTAAAATATCATTGGTAGAGAATTAATATTATGCACGTGCTTAATCGGCCATTTTTAATTGTCCTGGTAAGTCACACTAGTAACCCATATAGAATTCTATAATAAATTTATCAATCGCTCGGAGGTAACTGTAAATTATATCTTGTTTTCCATACAAGTTTAACGAGTTGATGCCATTTACGGTTGATGTTAAAATCATAAACGCCGTAGTCTTGATATTACGTTCATTTATCTGTAACCGACACTTTGCAAGAGACTTCATGAGATATCAAACATAAGCTACACGAAACATAATTTATCGTGCCGAGATGAAACGACAAATGTTTATAATTGCGAGAGATTTACTGCCATTAATCTCCGAGCATTTTCTGTTAGTATTATAGACATTTTATAGACGCTTTATTTAGAAGTATCTCTGTTGGATAAAATTGTTATTTATAAATGATGATGACAAATGCAAGATATCTCGATTTGCAAACGATTCGTCGTCATCAATGCCAATTTGATATTTTAAATAACACGTTTCACAATCAGTGAAGAAATAATTTTGTTCAAATGTATTTGTGCTAAAATTAAATTCGAAATATCGAACGCTGTGATGATAAGTTTATAACAAACCAACTGGTCGATTCAATTATGTCCATTTTTGCTAATATAATTTAATTTGAATCTCGATTTAATTTATCCGTTTTTTTTCTGATTCTTAGAGCTAGAAAAGAACAAGAAGTACGTTAAGTGGAGATCAAAATTAATCTACATTGGTAGAAATGGACTTTTTAATATTCGTATAACATTCTGAGGATATTGTGTTTTATAGGATTAGTCAATCAATTCGATCCGTTATAATGAATCGCGTGAGGTAAAAGATTTCGTTAAGACTGAGAAGGTCTCGAGCGTCTTGAAATTATTTCGCTATCGATGAACCGTGTAACCTGTTGCGTAATCCGCTTTCCTGAATGAGCAATCAAAATTTGTCTTGCTGAAGTATTTAAAAAATGTAGTCAGATGTTGAAGAAAGTTTTGATACACTGAAAAAAAATTTACTAAATCTTACTATATTTCTTTGAATAGTACTAAGTAAACATTTAAACTTATAACATTTACTCACAATAAATAAATATTTACTCAATAAAAAATTATACTTAAATAAAATTAATGATTTTTGTATCAAATAAATATTTATTAAAATTTAATATTTTTTCAATGTATTTTAGTAATCAATATAAGCGCTCTGCATAATTATTTTAATAATATTGTATTATTTTAATAATACTATCAAAATTATTTTAATTATTTATTATTTCTCTCTCAATGGTAAAGTTTAATAAAATTATTTTGAGATCTGTAACTAGTTAAATTTTTATATACAGTGAGAGCAAAAAGTATTCGTACAAGGAAATTTTTTATAAAAAAAGTTTTATTTGTAAAAAATAAACATTAATTAGCAATTTTATACAATGAATACATTCTGTTCTAATATAAACAAACGAGCTTTGCATGTATTTCTGATTTTAAAAGCTAAATTTCTCGTACGAATATTTTTTGAGCATCCAAACAATACAATTTTTAATTTTCGCTAATTTTTCAAATGATGTATTTTCTATAATTAATACACATCTTTTTGGTATATATAATTTTAAGAAACATACAGTCTATTTTATTCTTTACGAATAAATTGTTAATCACTCACCAAGAAATAATCGCCAATTAAACATCGAATCGATGTCAAATTGATGTTGAAATCATCGTATCGATATCGATTCAACATCAGTTCGATGACTCATTTTTCGTTGGATAATATTTACTTTTTAAAAACAAAGTTTTTTTAAAAAACAAAGTTTTTTTTTTCTGTATGAATACTTTTTGCACTCACTGTAGGTTTTTCAGCAAGATCGTTTTTTTCAAGTTTTTTTCAAGTTTCATTTTAATGAATTAATCAATAACTGGAAATCGATTGACAAGAAATCTCCATTCACAATCGAGAAGAATAATACGTTCGACGGAAGACATCTCAGGATCTTCACGTGTATCGCGAACCTGTCGAAATCGATGAAATCTCGATTTAGCGGAGTAAGCACGTGCGGATCACTTCATACATCGAACGGGATCGATGGCCATCCAAGAAATGCGTGACTCCTCTTCGCCCGAGGTGGATGAGCGCAATGAATGCGGCGATTTCGATCGGTTCGTGTTCCCGTGAAGTCAGTGAAACAGCTTCCCTGTCAATGAACTGTGTTGAGCTGTTTCTTCGTTCGTGGAAGTTGCGATTATCTTGGTATCGAGTTCTCATCG